CGCGTGAGATTTTTCAAAATTCGTGTTTTGGGTGTAAATGTGTTGGATTATTAAAAAAAAACAAAAACACAATACTTATGTTCCATTACTTTTATATAAGACTAGCAAAGACTAGTGTTTGAGAGTGTTGCAATTATTTAAAATCAAATTAATAAAATTAAATGATAAATACTTAAATGGAAATTAATAAAAATAAATAAACATAATTATAAGATTTTTCCATATTTTATTCTAGAAATACTTTTACTATAATTTAACTTTACTTTCACGCAATTTTACACCGTTTTCTACTAGAAAAAAAATTACGTGAGATTTACGAAAACCCCCCCTCCCCCCCAAGTGAGATTTAGAAAGATTTAGTTTTATCCCCTCCCCCCCTTGAACACCTCACGTAATTAATGGACGCCCCCTCACTGTTAGTCTAGTTGCTTTCCTATTTTGTGAGGTTTTGTTATTTTTAAACATTAATAAATCAACATGTAATGATGCAAATTTCAAATTTTTTTTGCACGGTTGAATAGAGAATAAAACCCCCTTTCAAATGAGCTATCACTCACCACCCCATGCCATTTAAATTTTTCGAAAGGGTTTTTACCCTCCAGTAAGGGATGAAATTAAGGGTTAACTAATCATGCAAAAATGTACATTGTAGAAATTAAAAATCAACCTGTCTCGGCGATTTTCCTAACAAGACCCCAGAACGAGTTAGTTAGGGGGGGTAAGACCACATCCCCAACTAGCCATTCATAAAAGTGTATTTGTTGTGAAGTCCTCATCATCATCTACTCTATAGTCCAGGAGACAGCGACGATTTTCGGTATTTATTTTCCCAGTCAGCAAGCACGGATAGAGAACTGTAGGATTAGCAATTCTAAGCAAAATTCATATATATATTTAGAGGGGGATCCGATGGGCTGAGGCCGAAAATGCGTCAAAACATACGAGAACACGGCCTTTTTTTTCCATTGATAAAAATAGTTTTAGTAGTAAGAGATGTACTGAAGTTAAGTAAAAAAATAGTCTGATTAATCTGTGAATATGGATAATATATTTGGCAAGTGCATAAAATACACTTTCAAACGAGTTATGTACACAATTATTTCTACGACCACAATTATTTAAAGAATATTCCAGGTGTTTTGTATATTAAAGTGTACGCATAAGACACATAAATAAAATTATATATCACAATGTTTCATCTAACCAGTTGGTTTATTTATAGAAATTAAACATAATAATTAAAGATATTACAGAAGAAAATAGGGAAATAAATTACATTTCCTTTTACACTTTTATATAATAAATATTTTATTTAGAATTCACGAAACACTTATTACTCTACATTAGGTATAATTATTGTTAGTTTCGTTATGTCAAATCATTTATACTAGAGGTGTGAGGAAAATACAGTGAACTGTGGAATGCCAATATCGTTGGATACGCGTGGTAGATATGGTCCTATAATACTGCTAAAAACAGATAAATTTTCATGGAAACGCTGTACTTTTGACATTTGCGATACTCAAACGCATATGCATTATTGATGTAATCTCATGATTTTACAGTAATATTTTTTGCAATTTTAGTGTGATTTTTAGGTTAATATGGTTATTCATTTTATTTGGTTCTGATCTTTTGCGCTTTTAGAGTATTTGTCTTTTATAGTTATAGTTTTTAATTTGAATTTTAATATTGTGGTCTATTTATATTTGATTGCTGCTTTTCGACTGGTGCTTTGTTCTTTTTGTGTTAAAATAAGCTTCATAACCATTAAGTACATGCTTCTAGTTGATATTTACCTAATCGTCATCGGGTGCTTGCAACAATGGGAAAAAGTGTATGGTTTTTTTGGTGTAAAGTTAGACGCTTTCATTTTTCAGGTTAGTTATTTTTAGTTATTTTTTACTTAAAAGGATAGCAATACGTCCTGGTTCGAAGTGTGACTGTTGAGTTTTAGCTATATGAGCCAAATTATCGGCTATGTCCTCTTTTGGGACACCCAGAACCGAAAACTATATAGTTACATAATATGTTTTTTAAATTATTTTTCAATAGGTATGCAGCTTGGATGAGGGCTTTAGGAAGAAAACCTAAGACTGAAACACTGACTGCTATATATGCCGTTTTTAGAGCACATTTCATAGAAAGTGATTACATTCTAGCAGGAACTAGGAAAGGTTTAAAAAACATGCTGTACCAGCTATTACTTTAAGACCTCGTCTCTTTAAGTTATTATTACTTCATTCTAATGCACATATTAAAATGGTTTTTAACTTGTGCCCTTATGATTAAAAGATGTAGATATTTTAGTTATGTTATAATAGAAATATATGATACATTGTACTGACTGACCTATTGGCCACTGGTCATTCTACTTTTACTCCCTTTTTTCACAAATTGTCAAATTATTTAAAAACAAATACATACCTAGCTATTTTCTGTAAATTACATTAAAAATGTAAAAAACGTATTTCTCAAATAAGTTGCTTGAGATGGGGTCGTTTTTATGGAAAATTTTAGTGTTAATACTTTACTAATAAAACTACAGTTAATTTATCTTATATATACACAACGGAAGAGTTAATTGGATTTTCTTCTTGTTGAGTTTCAAAAATAGTAATTTAACATGATTTAAAAACAAATACATGAAATGGGCAAAATAGACCTGCAAAGGCACTTTGTACACAATCTCACTTGTATCGATGTGACGTAATGCGCGAATACAATCTGGCTAACTTTTGTTAATAGATTGGCGTTCCATTTTAAATACACAGTTCACTGGGAAAAGATTATTTAAATATACACGGACCGGGAAAACAAGTACTTAAAAAATTCACTAGCTCCTGGACTAGTACTGTATCGAAGGAATTTTATGAATGAAACAAAATACGACCCTAATACAATTATGGTCTACAATAGTTCCGCTGTTGTCAGACGTTATTTTTTTTTTGACAATTTAAAAACCTAACAGTATTATAAGCAAACGTAATTACATTACTACAGTTAAAAACATCGCAAACTTGGCATCAATATTTTAATTTTATCCAAATATTGTATTTCCGTCGAGGATCATCCGGGTTGACTTCAGAAATTGTGTAATCTGTCTTGGTTATATATATCTATAGTTAAAAGCACGTAAACTTGGCATCAACGTTCAATCAGATTATTGGGTTTCTACCGCGGACACCAACGTTCATTCTTCAAAAATTTTGTAAATAATCCTATCTGTCTTGGTTATATATCTATGGGTAAGACTTAAGATGCTCACTGTATACAAAAAGTTATTGAAAACAAATTATTGTTAGTGTATGGTCACTTGGTATAATATTATGTAGTCCATTGAATTACTATTAAAATTAGCTTTTAAATGGAAGTGTCATACTTGTGACTTTCTCAATTTAAATTGTATTGGTTAGATTAACAGAGGAGAGAAAAATTACATTTATGGGTGGGTGGTGAGAGTATCTGCCTTCCAAGCGAGAAACGCAAGATCGAGCTTCGGTTGGGGACTTTTAAAATAAATCTTTTTTTCTTTTATTTTATTTTAAAAATTATTAAACGGCGTCGTGCTCAAATTTCGTCTTCGGGCGATATGGCCGTCATATCCACTCTTGTTGCACAAACTACTATTTTAAATTTATCATTTTTAATATTCTGTGTAAGAACATAATAAATAGCATCACCTTTTTATACAGACTTCGTTTCTGTTTTGTTTTGCTATATGTCATATTAATTTCAAAAATGGCAGAAATTCAGTGATGATGTATAATTTCTCACGAAATTTTATCAAAATCAGAAAAATCTAAAAAACTGATTTCTTTAATTTTAAAACGCAATACGATCAAGAATTTCAACAGTTTGTGAATTGTAAGAAGGAAAATAAAGTTGACATAGGGCATGAAGATATTCTTTTGCAGCAAAAAATATTTTGTTATTCATATAGTAACCTAACAGTCCGGTAAGTGTAGCCTTACCAGACCTGATACTGTAATAGCTCATTTACCGGACTGAAATTGTTAACGTAATTGTGCTTGATCAAAAAATATCTCGATTTTTCGAGTGGCTGTATCTTTGGTAAAAATGGTCGTACTTGAATGAAAATAAGCAATTTAAAGCTTGAAGTGTCTAGTTTATGGATCTTGCGACAAAAAAATTTTCTAACCAACAATTAGCACAAAATCCTGATGAATATCATGGATAAATAATTTTTGAATTTTTTTTTTTTTTTTTTTTTTTAATTTTTAGTGCACGGACTCGACATAACCACTATAGGTATGCATTGGATAGGTGGTTCAGTTAGCTTCAATTCCTTATTTTGATGGCCTCGAGATGCTGAGTTATCAGAAAATGAACGAAAATGCATCATTTCCTCTTCTCTCGTCAATATCTCAGCAATCAATGGCCACTCAGAAAATGGAAGGGAGGTTTCGGAAACTTCGATTCATTCTCTACAAGTTTCTGGCATGTTCTTTCACGAGAAATTTATTTTTTCATCCCTAGCATGACTTTGAAGAATTTCGGAAAACAGGTCTTTTTGAGGATTTTTTTAGAAAATCACGTGCCACATTGAGAATATTGGGAAAATGAATAATGTTGAGTGTGCATCTTATAGGCCATTGTTCCCCCGAAAGCACTACAAAATTTCAACCTGATCCATCAAGCCGTTTCATTGTTTCATGCGAGTGAATTTTTGAAGAAATTGAAGGATCGCGTTTTTCTATCCATGATATTCATCAGGATTTTGTGCTTATTGTTGGTTGGAAATTTTTTTTATCGCAAGATCCATAAACTAGACACTTCGAGCTTCAAATTGCTTTTTTTTTCATTCACGTACGACCATTTTCACCAAAGATACAGCCACTCGAAAAATCGCAAAAATGGAGATTTTTTTTGATCCCTTAATTTTTTCCACTAGTGTATATTAGTGCGCCTATGTCTTGGATCGGAATACAATTTTATTCGACGTTCTAGTTGGCACAGTGGGAAAGAGAGAGCTGTCGCTTATCCACCAATAAAATTAATCTGTTGACTTCTCGACAAGCCGTCATTTTCCGAAATTGTCATTTATTGCACTCATCAAAGTTTATTCCATCCAAAGTAATCGATTCATAGTTTTGTGGAAAAGTTTCCAAGAAATACATCATAGCAGTATTAAAATAACTATGCAACTAAATTAATTCGTAAATATTTGGATCATGTGGGAAAGATTTCTAAATTTTTTGTGTTTAAAAGCAGTTTCTTTTGGCAACCAAGATTTAAATACGGAAAAAGTTGTACAAGTTCAAAATATGGTTAATTGCGACAACATAGTTATTTTTACGAAATCCTACTGCACTTATTGTAAACTGGCACTTGACATTCTCGATAGGTGCGGGGCAAGATATACAGAAATTGTATTGGATCGGAGAGACGACGGGGAGGAGATCCAGCGAATTTTGGGTGAACTAACAGGCAGCAGGACTGTCCCTAGAATTTTTATAAATAACACTTGTCTCGGTGGTTGCACTGAGTGTAAGAGATTATTTGAAACAGGAGAGTTACAAAAATTGATTATCCAGGCTTGTTGTTGAAGACATATTTTTTTAAGTTTTGTAACCATTTATTTTGTAGATCAAAAATAATAGTTAATTTTTCATACCTATCACAAAAACGTTGAAAGATCTTGCCAAAATGATAGTGTTCGCTATATTAAGTGCAATACTTTTTTTCATGGAATTTTTTTGGAAAAAAAATAAAAAAGACACTGATCTTTTATTGAAATATAAATAACTCTGTAATTTACGCTATAGTAAAATTATTTTTCATGCAGATTTGTATATTTTTTATGAACGTACATCCACGAAGGAAAAAACTATATATAGTCTGCAAATATGCAAATCTTAAAGCCAGTAGTCATAAATATTTTGGACCGACCAGTTGATCCAAACACCTCCAGAAAGTAAATAAGTTATTAATACATGATAAACACTTTCACTGCTCAGCTCCCTAAGCCTGCGCATGTGCGGTGCCCAACGTACTTTTGTTTTTAAAAATACAAAAAAATGTAGTTTTATTTATTTTACTTTTGTATAGAAATTGATTTACTTTTATAGAATTTGGTATATTGCTAAAAAAAACAAAATTAGAGGGACGCGTTGAGGGCACCTAGCTATAAAAATACCAACAATTTTTTGTATAATTATAATTTTATCCAATATATACTAAACGCGGTAGCTGCGTTGTGGGCAGTGAAAGTGTTAAAAGAAGAAAATAAATTATAATGAAAATAGTGAAAATGATAACAGTAGTTTACATTCTTAGACATCGTTATATCGTTAACAAACATTTTTCTGCTTTTATAATTTTTTATGTGTTCTGGAGGTGAGTTGACTTAAGCCATCACCAAACAAAGATTTTTTACTATTATTTCAGAAAAAAGAAACTTAAATGACCATTCGTAATACTTTAATAAAAAATAATTATTTTATGTATCAATCAATATTAAAAAACCTTAACCCCTTGACTACGACCTACGACAGAACAAAAGCAAATACAGTCAAAGTGGCCCTTTCTAGTCTGTAATATGATATGTAAATCTAGATACATCAACACATTCCGTTTCTTTTTCTGAAATAATAAATATAAAATAACAGTATCCACTGGTGAAACATCAATAGCTTATGGGCCCAGGCTTACAGTAGGTATTGTTGAAATATTTGTTCCGGCGCAAATAGTTGTATTTAAAAAGAACAAATATGGAAGTAACTAAAGTTTAGACAGGTTTTCTAGAAGGAAAACCATCTGGAGTACATGGAACTATACTTTGTATATTTTGTTACGTGGAATACCAGATGAGACTGATGTAATAGAAAGCAAGCTATTAAAACCAGCACCTTTACCTGCGTAAAAACTATGAAAACAGTGGGCGTATTTTACCAAAGCAGAAAAGGTCCCAACAAATATGACAGAAGATGCTCTTCAAAAAGTTTCACATGACACGAGAAGTGTGGTTAGAGCTGAAGGTAAAACAGAAGACCAAACTTACGATTTATGTGCATCATTTTTCAGTTGTAAAGACAATCGAGTTATGATATAGCTACTCACACATTTAAGTTAAAGAACCTTTGAAAACAATTTCAACAAGATATCGCTAAAGATAAATAACACTTAACAGAATCAGTGTACATGTCATTCCCTTCAAGACTAGCTGGTTACTGATGGCGAACTCAGAGATATCTGTAGACAATGTCGTATACACCTACGAGAAAGTATTTATGTAACAAAAGCGACAGCTTTAGAAAGTCAAGTCAACAAAAAGTTTAAGCCTAAGTAGAATCTGCCACTATTGCGAGCAAGATGGTCATATAGTTCGTCAATGTGCCAAATAGAAAGCCGACACACGTCCTTTAAAGCCCCAGGCAAACAATAGCAATAGAAGAGGTCAAGACAAGGACATACATTTAACACTAGTAGCACCTAGTTCTGAAGTTTGAAGTATAGAAAATGATCCAGATAATTGGTTTGTAGATAATGGTGCTACAAACATTTGAACACTTTGATTCTGGTTATACTGTTATCACAGCAAGTGATGACGCAATACAGGCAGTTGACAGAGGATCAATAAGAGTAAAAGCTATTGTATGTATGTAGCAAATCAGACCGTCTTAAACTAGCTAGTCTGGTCTTGGCGCAAAGAAAAACCTTTTGTCTTTTAGCTGCACAATCCCAACGGTGAGTTTCGTTCAAGAGTAGAAGACTGCAAGTTGATAATCGATGAGACAGTCAAATTAGCAGGATTGTTTTGAATTTGTTCTTCAAAACGTAACTCCTGTAAACGAACTGTCGGTTGGTAGCATATTGCAGCTACATCACGAAAGATTTGGACACCAAAAAGAGAGAAATGTAAAATATTTTATTGATCGTGAACTATATATAAAAGTACCCCTGCATAGTGAATTATGTGAGGGAAGCATTTATGGAAAATCACATAGATTAAAATTCGGTTCTCTAAACGTGCAAAAGAGCCTGGTGAACTTTCGACGTATGTGAGTCTTTCATTGAATCGCAGTAAGGAAATCGATATTTCGTCCTTTAAAGACGATTTCAATTAATTTAGATATATCTACTTCAGAAAAATCCTATACACCTATACACCTGAGCAAAATGGGTGTTCTAAAAGGGAAAACCGCACTACTGTAGAGTCTGTAAGAAAGAGCTATTATGCACGCTAGAGGTAATATACTACAATTTGTATGGGCTAAAATGATAAATACTGCCGCATACATCCTAAACAGATCAGGTGTATTTAATAAAAGAAATGAATCCCCCTTTGAAGTAGGATAAAACAGAAACCGAACCTGAAGCACTTAACGAGTTATAGAATGTACTTGTTGTGCACATATACCAAAATTACGTCGTAAGAAAATTGACAGAAATACTATAAAAGGCATATTGCTTTACTTATCGAGTGTAGTGTAAAGAAACTAAGCAACTCATAAGATCTAGAGATGTAATTTTCGAAGAACAACCTTTAGTAGGATTAAATGAATTCTAAAGATCCGAGGAGAAAGACAAAGTGAAAATGATTGGAATGATCTCATCACCTTCCACTGTTCATCGTACATGCCACACCTTTTGATAAAGGCCATGGTTGAATTGGGTGAGATCTGTTTAAAGTCGATAGTCTCCAGTCGGGTGAATCCGAAGATCTAATTCTTTCCAAAGTGGACCAGAACCATCACGCTGCAGAATCGACAATGTCCTGTCATCTGTCTAGTGAATGCGTAGATCTTTCATACTCCTTCCTTTATTCAGAACTGTTATTCCAGAACATTGTCAGGCTGAGCAGTATATGGTTGAATACGGTGGCGGTAATGGAATAAGTAAACAACACTGCCATTGCGCTAAAGTTCGGTAATCTTTTTGAGGGGCGAGTGTACATATTGTATATGGCAAATGTGTCAGCATTCTTCACACATTTCCTTACTTCCTCTTGTTCCTGGAGTCAATTATTATGGATGTTTTTTTTTGCAATTTAAAACAAAATAATATTGATGTTAATGAAATTGACAAAAAAAAATCAAAATTGATGGAATACAGAGCTACAAAAAAGAATGCAAAATATCTGATTTTTTGAATAGTTCTAACTATAAGTAATAATTACACCTGCATACCTTGTTTTTGTCATAAAAAAATGTTATCTAAATGTTTTAAGTATGTTGAAAACGGTGATAATTTGCCGTTAGGTTTATTTTGACCAAAGGTTGTCGGAAAAGCATTAAATATTAATCGATTTTTAACCGTCATAACCCCATATTTTTTTCTTTATCAGGAAAATTGAATATAATCTTTTGAATGTTATTTTTTAACCGTACATTAGCATTCACTGTCTACAAAAGCCAGTCGGTTGAAAATAATAAATAATTTATTATTCTGGTTTTAAAAAATTTCATAAATTATACCGCAATAAAAATGATTCGTTATCTTCCACCATACTGAATTTTTTCTTAGATACGATTAACTCTGCTTCAATATTTTATCCAATTTAATATATTTTTTTCCTTCAAAATATTCTTTACAAGTTCAGTTTTGAAGCAGTTGTCTAGAAATGTATTATGCTGATATACCTACCTGTTTAATGCAACTTGCAGACTAAAACATGTTCCTACGTGCTGGAAAGTTGCACAGGCAATGTTGCCAAAACCATGAAAACTGCTTAACGACATAAAGTTTTAGCGATGTCTTTTCAGCCATTTCAAAAAGAAAAAATGGCTTGTATAAATTGATTAAAACCTTTTAAATTTAACCAATAAATCAAAAATAAGTTTATTTAGCAAGGTGGGGCACTCCAACATTTAATGATTGTGTACACGATGACGATTAATTTTAGTGAAAGTGTTTTTATAGACAGTAAGCACTGAAGATGGCGTAATGCCGAAAGCGCTTTGCTTTTTTTAAATAAAATAATTTTTTGCTAACAATAATTAATTTAATTAAAGACAAACTGTTTCATTCTTAGTATTTAATTTTTAAACGTAGGTGTAATAATTTTGTACACAACGTATAATTAAAATAATGGAACGTTTTATCGATTTTATTTGATGAGAGAAGTTTTTCTTTGTTAGAAAGAATAAAAGCAGATATCGACATACTTGGGTTTTACCTATTATATAGATAGTTTTTACATTTCTTATTTATGCAATTGTATAATTTCTGGAAATACCTAAAATCAATGAATTTACATGTATTTCCTGTAATAAGAATAATATTATTAAGATTTGAATCCCGCAAAGAGGGTTTCCGTATTAAGCCCCCCCCCCCAGACTAACGCGAAAATTCCTCGACAACCGCGAATATTCGCTCCATTGAATATTGGTAAGCTTGAGTTTTATCACTTTAAACTGCAAATCATTCTCGTTGGTCTGTAATTTCTTGATAACGGTTCAGAATAGTACAAAATAAATAGCGGAAAGATTAACGGATTGCTTTACTGTAGGGGTTATACAGGGTGTCCCAATGAAAAGTAGCCCATTTCCAGAGCTTATAACTTTTAAACAAATCGTAGAAAGGTGCGGTTTTTGCTGATATGTGTTATTTTGCTATAAGTTTTGCTTCAGTGAAATTATGTGTTACCTATACAGGGTGGTTTTTAAAAATCTCCTCTTTTAAATTCACCGTAACCAAATTGTATCAAATGGAAACGGGCTACTTTTCATTGGGACACCCTGTATTATGATAAATAAAATTTATTTAGAATAAATAATCAGCAAAAGTCGTAATTTTATTTTTTATATTTTTTAAAATAAAATAA